AATCATAGCAGGACTGTCTGGAAAATGATCTATAGGAAATAGCACAGCTTATAAAATGAGTCAGATCAACCTAGGCCGGTAAGGCAATCACTGATTGGTATGTCTTTAAGCCAATCAGGAAATGTCACAGGCCTACTGAAGGATATGTAGATAGTATAATAATTCTTTTTGGCGGCAAAGGACAGGTTTATGTGTTTTAATAACAGATGTTTCCGCATATAAAAGCTATCTTCAAGTTTTGTACACCAAAATAACTTTTCTAATAAATATTTAGTTTTCTAGAGTTTCTTAATGCAACTTCAGGAAAGTTTGAATAATGCTGTGTAACATGCCTCTCTTTCCCAAAATGTATACTTATCGCCACGATGTTTCAAGCAAAACGGCCATTTTGGGTGAGAGAAAACGTGGAAGATGAATTATAATAACAAACGAAGGCATAACGAAAAAATAATACAGGGACATTAATAAATTGCAATCAGAACTGTTCGAAAATATTTCAAAAAGTGAGAAAAGAAAATAATATGAGCATAGATAGTTTACTTAATAATAATAGAATTAATTTATAATTAAATGACGTTTAAATCGAAAATACTAAATATCTATAAAAACGTGATTTTAATGCAATCTCATTGTAATCGAATACATTTTATAATAAATTATCCTAAATATTAAATAAAATAAATATTATTCAAAATGACTAAGTTTTTAAAAAATTAGAAAGATTTTATTATTTCAAAACGTTCAAAAAAGAGGTCTTCTAACTTGTTAAACTACGTTTTTTTATTACTATATAAACCATATCAGATACTTTTTATAAAATAACAAAACCATGCAACCCATCTGTGTGGGCTTTGACAAAAAGGAGATAATTATTTAAAACCCTGGATACAACTGTGATAACCAATAGTGTAACGAATTTTTGTACATACGTTTGACTGGTTTTGAATATATTATTTTAAAACAAATGGAATGTGTGCTGTTTATTGTTGAAATTTTTCGCCAACAAGTTACGGACACCTACTGTAAAGAATCCAGCCCTATAAAACCTAACAAACTACTTTTCTCATTACTAAAACGTTTATATTCACGTTGTATTTTTGTAATACATTGTGTTATGGTATCACATTCTGAGAGACATTGTATTTTTATATATATTTAGTAGATACGAAGTAAATGTATCAATTTGACATACATGAAAGAAAGATTTGACTAAAAACAATACCAACTGGTATCACAAAATATCCATTACAACTATTCGAACTGTACCTAAACAGAATGCAATTCAGGATGAACCAATGAAAACCTTTCATGTGTGTGATATTCTGGTTCATAGATAAATTCGATTCTAAAGGTTCAGCTGCAAGAGTGGCGTATAAGGTGAGTGTTTTATCATTTCTACGCAAAGCTACATATAATAAGAGTTCTCTGCGCATGGCCGTCCTTTATTTTGAACTGATAGACTAGAGGGAAGGCAGCTATTCAATAGCACCCACCACCAAATCTTGGGCTACTTTTGCCTGACCGAACAATAAGCCAAGCCCAACCCAACTAGTAAGGAGACATAAAGTCAAAATGACACATTATTTGACGCTGAACATAAACGTGAAGTATGCATAAGGTGTTAAATAAAGTGAAAACGAAAACAGGAATGAAATCGAATTTAAATAACTGAAATTAGAAAAAATAAAACCAATTAAAGTGAGAAAAGTAATGGAAGCTTAAACTAAGAAAAAAGGCATTTTTATATACGGTTCGTGAAGAACTAAACGGGAACACTTTCTAAGCCATATAAAAAATTAATGAATATATAATTAAGTGTGTTAAAATAAAATAAATAATATTGTGTTGTTAATTCTTTCCTATAAATCTAATTTGTAGATTATTTAAATAAAGTTGTTAATTATTACAATTCACGTGCGTAGTCTGATTCACAAACTAAAATGAAATTTAACAATATATATATATCGCTTAGATCACTACTATATCGTATCTCAGCTGGCCTGATGAGCCCTGGTATTGTGCGAATGTCCTCGTCGGCACTGTATAAGTAGATGTAGTATGGTTGGCATATTATAAAGTATTATCCTTTACTTTCGCTCATATAGCTACCAAAATGTGTGAATACTCAGCTTAAGAAGAAGCAGCATCTCTATAGCTTGACTGTACATGACAAATATTGCTAACAACGTTAGAGCCAATATTTGCTATGGTCTTAATGTACAGAAGCAAATATTAAGTGTGGGTAGTTGTTTATATTATTAGTGTTTATAGGAATCTGGAGTTTAAAATAAAAAGTTATCAGATGCACCAGTTGGAACGTTATTACCAGTTTTTCCGTTTTCGCGTCGAATTTTATTTCTAATCGTGGGCTTCGTAGCTAGTACTTGTTCTTAAACTGAATGGTGACATCCATAAGACATATTGTCAAAATATTCAAATGATCAATATGATTCTAAAAATGTGTTTAATGGAAATACACATTATATGTGTTTATTGTAAGATTTACATATAATATTATGTCATAAAAAAAAAACCGCGAGATTATATCCACTACCTGTATTGAAAATCTTATCATATGATATAATACAACATATATGTGAACATATATATAACGATATATGTTGATTACATACAACCAGTATAAATATAAAATATAAAAATAGACAATTTTATTGTGCTATTCACATAATTCACGTTAATGAGATGCATTAAAATATAGACATAATATTCACATAGATTACGATAGCACTGTGGATCAATAAAACGTAAGTTACTATCATCTTATAAACGTCTAAAAAGACTTGGATACTTCCCTCATCCAGAATTTTCCTTGCTGTTAAAACTTTCTTCTTTTGCCATACTAATTCCTTATCGGCAGATAAGCTAAAAGGACCCTTATTGGAGGGAGTTATCCAAAAAAAAACCTTCCCAGATTATTAAATTATTGATTTTAAAACATCAGTTAAGCCATTTTGGATAGCTTAAGCTTAATAGTTACCATGGTATTATTAAATATCTTGGAAAATATATCATCATAGACAAATATTATACACTTCTATCATTTACAGCATTATCTAGACGAGAGGTAAAGACAGTTTCATTATTTTTTACTGTTTTTAGTCATAGAACTGTAACTTATGATAACATATTTTGTTTAACTCTTGCGTGTTTCGTCTTTACCTGCATTTCCATGATAAGCACCAACCATCATTTTGTAAAAATCTCTCTCGCCACGGACAAGAAATCCTCCATACTCAGCATAAGCCTTTTCTCTGTCGAATGTTTCAAGGTCTACCCGCAGCACCGTGTCTTCTTTATTTGTTAGCGCAAATAGAATATCATTTCCTGTTAAAAGAAGCAAACATTATATATACGCGGAGTTTCTTATCGTAAAAATATAACTCATATAAAGTACAAGCAAACTCCACGCTCTTAAACAAAGAGAAAATTTATAAAATGTTGATAAATTGTAAATTAGATATATTTCCTTTACGAGTAAATGCAATAAAATAAACTTTAAAATGATTTTGTTATTTAAATGTCCACGGTGTGAGGAAAGGCGAATGTTCATGAAACGCTAGATAATTTGAAATTTAAATTAAGTTTATTTACCCCCGAATATAGTTCAATGCAGTTTTTGCTCGTATACCCACATTTATAAACTTTCAATCATAAATCATATTTGAAGCTTAGGTTTTTAGATTTAACCTCGTGATTTTTCAACAACTAGCTTTTGTAAGGTGTAATATAGAAGTGAACAAATATGTTTTCTTTTAAAACCTACAGATCGTATTTCAAAGTGTGTTCACATACACTGCACTTTAATTTCTTAGCATTATTAGCACATTATACAGTAAATATTGTACTTTATAAACAGAAAGAAAGATTTTTGTATATACCACAAAACAGCTAATTTTAATACCTATCCAGAATTCTCCCGTTACGTTCCCAAAACCATATTTATAGCTTGTCCAGGGTAGGTTGAAATCTTGTCTCGGTTCTATATCATCTCTTCTCTGGATCACCTGAAATATGAAAAGAAGTTGTATGAAATGGACCACTTTAAATTAAAATTTATTTTTAAAAACTCTTAATTTCATCAAGAGTAGCTTTCTGACCGTCCATCCTCCTCCTTCGGTCACCATATCACAGAATACTTGAACAGGTTGGTTAAAGAACCGAGGCCAGATTATGTACACCCCACTCTGGAAGAACCCCTGACGTCGGATATCATAGCAGTCGTTGGGTCTGCAGTTTTTCTTAATATCATCTATGGAGAAGCTTGCTTTGACAAGGAGGAGATTCGATAATAAAGCAACTGGAATAGGAAACAACATTGTTCTTTATGTGAAACTTCTACCACCAAGTAAGTTATATTTATATCTTCAAACATTAACTATGCAAACAGTACATATATAATAAACTTTATTGTATTGACATATTTCAAAACTCGGTAGTTTCACATAAATAACGCATACACTTAAGTTTGAAAAATGAGCATGTAAAAAGTAATTAAGACTGTTTCCTTTATGAAATCTATAGTTCTTAACAATGTGTTTTGTATTTTTTATCAAAAGATCACTGTTTCTTTTACAATCACGCTTTATTCAGTTCTTAGCATGAAAGGAAGCCAAAACGTTATTCTACACAGAACAAAACGCTACTTGTTAACCATAGAACGTCTCATACAATTCACAAAGACCCTTTTTAAACAACATTCTTGAATAAGTAGTTATAAATACTTTCCCTAAAATAATGTATAACAACAGTTGTAATTTCTACTTTTTCTCGACAAGTCAGATGATTAGTTTGTCTTTTCCCTTCAGGCGTTTCTTTTAATATCGAGACAGGTTTGTTTGTTTTGAATTTCGCGCAAAGCTACACGAGGGCTATCTGCGCTAGCCGTCCCTAATTTAGCAGTGTAAGACTAGAGGGAAGGTAGCTAGTCATCACCGCCCACCACCAACTCTTGGGCTACTCTTTTACGAATAGTGGGATTGACCATCACATTATAACGCCCCCACGGCTGAAAGGGCGAGCATCTTTGGTGGAACCCGCGACCCTCAGGTTGCGGGTCAAGCGCCCTAACCACCTGGCCACTTCAGACAAGAAACACAAATAATAAAAAAAAAACACATTTAGTTACCATCCAAGATTTACTCACCGAACTTTTTTGAAGAGTTTGTTTGAAGTTAAGCACAAAGTTGCACAATGGGCTATCATCTGTGCGCTCTGCCCACCACTGGAGGGAGGGGGGCTTTTTTGAAGAGTTCAGCAATTTGAAATTACGAGTTTTGTATTTGGCCATAATTGTATCTTGTTGTGGAAACATTTGTTCTGATGATATGTGCACAGCTTGAGAAAGAGGTTCATGAAACACTGTGAGTAAACAAAAACTGCTTTTTTTGTGTACAAAACTTATTCCAGCATTATTATATTGAAAATTAAGTCTTATCGATTGGACAGATAATCTGAGAAAATAGTTTATTATTGTATGAATAAGCAAATATTTTGTTTGTTGTTAAGCACAAAAACTATCCAATGGCTTATCTGTGCTCTGCCCACCACGGGTATCGAAACCCGATGATTAGCGTTATAAATCCTAAGAGTGGCATAAGTAAATCTAACGACAACGAATTCGAAAGACACTGATTTTGTTTGAAGTACTGGTTTATGACGTAACTCTTAACCTTGATGTGGCAGATTTAGTTCCATAACCACGTGATTACAAAAACGAGAATTATCCACGAGTGCCGTAGCACTTAGCTGAAATGTTTATGTTTGAAGCAACTTTGGGATGAAGTCTGTAACGTTCTGGAGATGGACACAGAAATAATTTAATCTTCCATATTTGTTTCAATTTCTCTCTTCCTCCCCTTCTTTTTTCTTTCCTTTTTTTTTTTTTTTGTTTAACAGTTAAATAGTATTTAAAGAACATCGTTAATAACTATACTAAAGCTTTGTTATCCGTATTTAGAAATATATTCAATTTATTCCCCCATTCCTTGCTCTACTATAAATATATTTACTGAAATTGTAATTCTGAATTATATGTTATTTTATTTCTGGGGTTTTAATACAGTGACAAACTTATTTGTGTATCTTAGAGCAAGAATAAAGTAATAAAATGATAAAAATACAAAATCGGGGCTTATAGTAACAGAGAAAGATATTTACAGTTAAAAACTGAACTCAAACTCATGAAAACATGTCTTAGTAGTAAAATTATGGTTAAATTCTAGATAAAGTGAAAATTCACAATGAACTAAAACATAGCTCACAATTTACAGTGTCAAAATTAAACTCAAAATCATCATACATGAGAATGATCGCACCAGTGATTGAAACATCGCACCTGTTTTAAACATATTCTTCCCTTCTGTAAAAGCTGTAACTTTTAATAAAATTAAGTTATTCATGTTTATAGGTTATGGTAGAGTCCCGATTTGGGTCTTAGAGGAGAGGAACAGTTATCAACTATGGTTCTCCAAGGAGGCTTGCTTTATCATCTCAGATTTTCTTCAGTTCAAACTCAACTTAGCTCATCCAGAGTTCCAGCAATCTCCTTTCTCATCTATTACTGCTGTCAATCGTGTCCTCTATCAAGAGGTTCCCAGGCATATGCCCATCTTCTATATCAAGGGATGGGGATTAGCAACCCACTACCAGAAGGTCTAAGCTGCTGGAGAAAAGCTTAAAGAGATGACTGACAGCTAAACATATCAACTGTCTGTGTGGTTATAATGATCACCATTCATAGTGATGGTGTCAGAACTAATGTTATGGTTCCAGTCTTGCATGTCAATTCCTTAATATTAAGTTATGATCACAGGAAATTACCTAATTAGATAAAAAAAAATAATTAAGATCAAACTAATAATGAATATAGCAAATTAAATATAGCCTCACGTGGTCTGGTGTTTAGGACAAATTAAATATAGCCTCACATGGTCTGGTGTTTAGGACAAATTAAATATAGCCTGACATGATCTGGTGTTTAGGACAAATTAAATATAGCCTGACGTGGTCTGGTGTTTAGGACAAATTAAATATAGCCTCACATGGTCTGGTGTTTAGGACAAATTAAATATAGCCTGACATGGTCTGGTGTTTAGGACAAATTAAATATAGCCTGACATGGTCTGGTGTTTAGGACTCATCATCTGCGAGTTACGAAATCGAAATCTAGCACCGACCATGCTCGCTCTTTCATCGACAGCAGTGTTATAAAGTGACGGTCAATTCCACATTTCGTTGTAAAAGAGTATCGCAAAAGTTAGCAGTGGACATTCATGTCCATTTGCTTTCCCTCTGGTCAGCAGTTCAAAATTACGAACAACGGTAGATAGCCTTAGTAGCCTTTCCATAAACAAAACATACGCTTTTACTTATAAACATTAGAATGAATTGTTTCATTACTTGGGCACATTCGCTTTTATCGATGTTATCGGCAGTAAACCCAATAATATTTCACGAGGTTCGGCTAGTTTAGGAAATTTAAGTTAACCTATATTCATATACTACGCGAACAATGCAAAACAATCTTTATAATACAAATATAATAACAATAAAAATTTAAGATAATAAAATGAGATTTATTAAACATTCTAACAAATATTGTTAATGAAAGTTACACTAAATAAATAATAGAGCATACTTTACTTACACGAAAACTCTAGCCGTTAGCTTCAAGTGTTGTCGTAGATTTAATGTTAGTTGAAGAACGTAACATCAATATAACAGTATATAAGCAAAACTTTTGACAATCCTCTCTAAAAACGTGTTGTGATCAACACCCATAAAACGGCTCCATCGGGAAACTTTAGAAGAGCCTGACACTTGAGACAAATTGTTACGATACACGTTACTGTTTAGGTGTAGAGTCAAGTAGTAGTAGAACAGTTCCAACAGCCAATACCTAATGTTTAAAAAAACACAAAATATTAAATAAGAAATTAAATAACTACATAAATCACGCAATAAATAGCTAGAATATTGTAACTCTAATTAAAATATAACCATGTTAAATATTACAAAAAGAAAAAACAATGTATCAAACATACTATGAAATTTGTCTAACACAGCTAATCCGACATTAACCTTTGCCAGTTAACAACACACATAAAATGGGCAACATGAAGTAATAAATAAAGTTATGCATTCAGTAACATCCATGTGTTCAAGGGTTGAGAAGCAGTTCAACTATTCCTCAAATCAAGAAATTGCATTCTTATCTCAGTGTCATTTTATCATTATGCATATTTCAAATGGCCACTCCATAACCTAATAGAGTTTTGGGACCGCTTGAGTTAGCTTGAGCAATCTCAAACATCTACCCAATATTTTCCATCTGATAGTAAGCCAGAATTTTCTTATGTCAGACTGAATCTTCTCTCATGAGGATGTATGTTGAAGGCTCTGCCTCAATGTTAGAGAGGATGAGATGAATAAGTAGGTGGATGAGCTCTCCATAGATCTTGTCAGTGTTATCCTTCATGGTCGTATTTTCATACAGGCTATCAGTTTCATAAATAAAGTTTAAAATGTAATTTAAAAAAACTGATATTTCATACAGGAAAGCAGAGGTGGTCAGCACTGACTGGAATAGCCTTTCATTGGTCAGAAGTTCAGGTTTTATCATTGGGTAAAATACATCATATTACCTAAAAAGTATTAGCAATAACTTGAAAATACAACCAGAAACAAAGATGTCATCTACATAGGTAAGGCATTCTCATTGCAGACAGACTGAATTTTTTTCCACAATTTTACACAAGTAGCATCATATCTGCTGGTAGCCATATGTACTTCTTAGGACATGGTTGTGACTGAGATGACACTAGTAGTTCTATTTGTTGCAATTAACTGTTCTGTACACACTCTACAAATAATTTTCCTTGGTATTCTTATATCTGTTTGTTCACAATCATGCATAAGCATTAATATGATAATTACAGTAGGAGAAGCCATAGTTCAAGCAAAGGAAGCATTAATCTTTGACAGAAAGCAGTGGATTTCGCGCAATATCTCCGTGAATGCATTTGTCATTACATATATCTGTATTTGCAATGTTCTGTGGAACACCATTTTTGATTTAAAATATAAAATGACTCTCCTTATAACTGCATGCATGCAGTACACCACTTTGGACAGAAATAGACTGACATTGAAAGCCTTTTTTACAGATACATAAATCACCCTTCTACTGAGAAAGCTGTCATATAACATCTGTGTTAAGTGCATTCCTAAAATATTAATACTCTTTCCCAAATCTATTACAACTATTGTCTTTCTTATGAGATGGTAGTGATTATAAGATGAAGCCAATGTCTATTATTCAAAAGATGGTGTGTTATAGTAGGTGTGAATGGTGGTTTCTCTGGCAAAGAGTTAGCAGAGTACTTAGAGTTCTTATATCTAATAGCATCTTCCATCTACGTATGCAAGATGTCACATATCAAGTTGGACGTGCCACTACCATGTACAAATGAAACACCATATGTTTTGGTTGGAGAATAGATAGAAAATTGTGCCCTTTCAAGTTGGTTGTTAGATCCAACGTGGGTTCATTAAGATTAAATGAGGGGATTTAGCTGCTGCCATATCTTGTTGTTGGCTCTTCTGATGCTGCCAAACATTGAGATAATATGTATTTTATCAGCTCCTATTCAGTTTGTTCATGGTATGAGGACAGTTCTTTCACCAATACCTTAAATGTCTAGAATTGAAACAGATGCTCCTTCTCTTTTACTAATACATATTTTTCCCGAATGTCTTTTGGTTGCGTCAGAGGTCTAATCAGTGTAAGACTATAGACTCCATAGTCATGTTAATACAGTCCTACCCAGTGTAGCTGAATAACAGTCTTTGGTGCATTACCGTTTAAGATGTTATAAAATTGTTTTGAGCTTGTCATGATGGACTACTTTCTGAGGCCTAAGTATGCAGTGTGAACACCATATCGACCATACTGTCTTTCATTATTCCTGTAGCTTGTCTTAAGTTCTGATTTCAAACCTGGTCACTGTGTATAGTGATCTTTGAGACAACTGAAAGAGAATATTTTTAACGATTAGTTGAAATAAGAAATGCCATTATAACTTTCAAATGTCTGTGTTCATCATATAAATGTATTATTTATTTTTATATAAATTACTTTAATTGACATTTTAATATGAAATCAACGTAATAGGGTGTTTCTTTTTCGGTTTTAAGTGAGAAAATATATAAAATAAGAAGTAAAAAAGTGTAAGCTTTTTATAATTAGTTTTGGTATAAATTCAACCTTTTGATAATGTGTAACTTATTGAAATCTAGATGTTTATAGACGTTTGTATTTTCAGTATGAAAAATATTTAAGTTCAATCCTACTTCTTTCTAAACCAATACTGCGCGTTTTGAAATTTACGATTGAAACACTGAAAGCTGAAGGAACATCAAAAATAAATAGGCCTAACACCTGTAATTACTACTAATTTATGGCCTATTCATTTCTAATGCTTTGAAAGCTTTTGGTGTTTGCGAAGATAGCCCAGTTGCTTTGCGCCAAAAAAAAACACGCCCCCCCAAAAAAAAACTTTCGGTGTTTAAACAGTAACTTATAAAGTATTATACTGTATATATAAACAGCGTTGGAGAGAATCTTTTGTTTTTCATCGTTCAGCCAGCTCAACTGACTAGTTCTGGTACTAACCGAAAAGCAGTAACTTGAGTGAGTCAAAATTTGGTTTGGTTTGATTTTCGCGCAAAACTACACGAAGGCTATCTGCGTTAACCGTACCTAATTTAGCAGTGAAAGACTAGAGAGAAGGCAGCTAGTCATCACCACATATCGCCAATTCTTGGGCTGCTCTTTTACCAGCGAATAGTGGGACTGACCGTCATTTTATAACGCCCCCACGGCTGAAAGGGCGAGCATGTTTGGTGGGACGAGGATTCAAACCCGCGACCCTCAGATTGCGAGTCGAGTGCCCTAACCATCTGGCCATGGTGAGTCCAATAAGAATCTAAAAAGGTAAGTCAAAAGATCGATCTGAATTGCTATTTTACACATCTCTGATTTTGAATCCGAAATCGATAAATTAAAAGGAATAAAAAAATATATCTGCAGTTTACAATATTTTAATCACAAATTGTAAGCTTTGATCTAATAGCCTTTAATGATTATGCAATCTGTGGTTCACTTATCTTCTCTGTTAGCAGCTGTGTTTGAAGATATATTAACCAAAGCGTACATTTTTCGGTAAATTAAGGAAACGCTTATAATTTTGTAAAATGTTCTATGTTTTACATATGGCTATTCACTAGTAATTTCAGAATCTCTTCAGACAATATTGGAGATTTCCAAACAGACTAGGCCTTCATTAGATCAATAACAAGTTCTCTTTGACCTTCATTAGGTTAACCACAAATCTTTTTGTTTTCCACAAGTAAATAACAAGACGTTTATCTTCAGTCGGCCATCACTACTTGCTGGAACGAATGTTCGTCAGATTTCACCTCCTTTAATCTGAATATATGCTTCGTAAACTCAGAAATGGGCTGAAACACACGAAATGTTCTAAAAATAATCATTTAGTTAAGATTTAAAAAATTAAACATCAGTAAATGTAAAAATTATTTGAGGTAATACAGATTCGTGAATAATACAAAGTTGAACATAGTGTTTCGAATTTTTTCTATTATAAAGTCCGGATATTTTAGCAGCACAACATTTAAGCTGTTTTACAGAGAAACAAGTAACACATAGAGGGCGATAGCTGAAAAAAATGAAAATAAACATTTATGGCCATAATCAACATTTATTTAAAAAATGAACAACAATTACAAATTTGAAAAACTAGATTTATGAAGATGTTTATACATAAACTGAAAACAAATTGAGAAATTCCACGAAAAAAAAGTGATTAAAAATGGTTAACAAAATTTTATGTTTAGAAACCTAATTTTCAGATTTGTTCGTGTTATAACCACCAGGACTCGGAATCAAAAAAAGAAATAAAAGCAAAGCATACAAGTCCAGCGCTTTCAATATACAATTCTTTAAAATATAACAAAAAAAAGACATAATATGAATGTATTTAAATGCGAGGTCTTGTACCCTAGAATTTTAGAGTTGATAATTAAACGAAAAAAAATTGAGAACAATATTGGCCATTAACATTTCTGTTACTATTTGCTGGATAAAAAAAACAACTTACAATTACATTCATTTATTGTTGATGGGTGATCATTTAGTGCTGAAACAAATATTTTTCCATTAATTTGCATTCAATCTACATGACTAAATTTCATACAATATTTATATTTTGCGATACACATGCATCACTATACTAGGTGAGATCCACAAAAGTGACAACTGATTTTACATCTAAGTATTATTTTTGGTACATCACTTTTTGCCAACATCTCCTCTACATCTTTAATACAGCTAACATAATTTTGTTAATGCAAAGGGCGTTAATTTGGAATACTACCGTTTGTATTTATATTTTTCTTGGAGGGGGGTGGGGAGGGGGTTAACCTGCCTTACCTCTAGGTCGCTGGTATCTTGGTTTCATGATATCTTTAATCTGTTTTACGTGTATATCATTAAATTTTTGGTTGATCGTTTCATTAAGAGTTCACATCTCATATATTTGCATGCTTCACTAATGCTTTGGTTGAGTATTTCCTTTTGTATTATGTACATCTACATCGCTAGTATTTTAAGTTGATACCTTTATTACAGTTAACCCGCATTTGATCAGAAACACTATCAATTGTGCTATGTTATTAGCTATATAATCGTCCATAGGATTAGTACTGTTATTATGAAGTGACTACTTTTCTAGGCCCACATATTTTAATTTTTTTTTTTTTTTTACAAAATAAGAAAACATACAAACAACCAAGTTTAAAGTAAAAGCAGTTCTGGCCAGAGTGAGAAACCCCGTAAACATCATAAGCTCTCCAAAACCTATAAATATGGGAAGTTTTTAATATTTGAAAACAAAAGTGAAGCAAAATAAGACATGTACAAGTCTCTTTTTTTTTTTTTATGAACGATGCATGTTTTAAACAGATCACTTGAATGTTTGCACATATTTACACTATCAAATGATTGACATTTTCAAGAAAGAATGCACTGTTTCATTATAATACCCATTAGCATATATTTTGCTATATACATCGACACTAAAAAAAAGAGTTAATTATATACCAAAGACTTTGAACAATGCGCGTTAAGTGATGTTTCTGACACAATATACATTACCACAGCAGAAATCATTTCATAACCGTTCTACGTTGAACTCGAAGAATATACTTTTATAAATACTTTGGTAGTTAGTGTTTCTTAAGATTTACTGGTCAAAACATATTATTTCGTTTTATAACAACAATAATAAACACGATTTAAAACAAATCGTTAATTTCTCTCTTAATGCCTCTATTTTCCTTATGATGTATAACAGAATTGAGGAAAACAAAGGCAATTGTAGGCCTCACAAACATTTCATTTATTACGACCATAGTCTCGCCATCAGATAGAGATTTCCCGTGACTTCAGTCTGTATTTGATGATACTTTTACTGGTGAAAAAAACAACAAAAAACATTCTCGTAATAAATTAAATATTTGTGAGACATACAATTATATTTGTTTTTCTCAGTTATGGTGTTCCACCAAACACCGTTGGCTTCAAGTATTAGTTATATATATATATATATATATATAACTTCTTCGTGGTATATT